AGAATCGAGCACTCGATGAGCGACGCCGACTCGAAGAAGCCGAGAATCGAGCACTCGATGAGCGACGCCGACTCGAAGAAGCCGAGAATCGAGCACCCGATGAACGACGCCAACGCGAAGAAGCGCAACGCCAAGCCGAGAAGCGAGTACAAGGAGAGACACTTATGCCTTATCTTGAGGCTTGCCACTCTCTCAGTCTCGCTCTTCAAGTAGTCACTGATCTTACTCGGACTACGAAAGGCGATACGACAGACCCCGACCGCCGAATTTACCCTCGACGAATCGTTCGGTGGGATGACTTCCCCGCGAGACAAGAGGAGATTTGGAACCAACTCCCAGAAGCATCCTTCGCTTCCCAGCACCAATTCCCGACTCAGCATCAGCTAGACTACGTACGGGATATCATTCGCCCTGTCAGCAGCGAGTGCGGGCTTCGATACTTCGAGCACGACACAGTCGAACTCGCGGTGGAGAAGCTTATCGTCGCAGTGAACGATAATGAACTGCTGCGAGACCGCCTTGGTCTACGCGGGACCGTGACATTCGAGAGCCACACAAACTTTGGCAACAACGAAACGAATCTCTCCAAGTCTCTGCAAAATATGTCCCTCAGCGAGGGTGGTGCCAGGGATGGGACATCGGCCCGGCCGGCACCGAAGGCTCAGAGCATCATGAAAGGGATGGGGAAGGGTAACCTGGCAGACAACTGTTGCATTTACGAAACATCGAACGGCGTGAGAGCGCCCAAGACAGCGATCGAGTATAAGGCACCGCATAAGCTGCCACAGGACGTGATATGCACGGGCCTGAAATCCGAGATCCAGCCGAAGATCGACGTGATTGACAAGGATGTCGAGGCCTATGACGACTTTCAGTTTGCGTCGAAGGCGCTCGCCGCTGCTGTTGTCACCCAGCTTTTCTCCTATATGATTGGCAAGGGCATCCAGTATGGGTATGTCTGTACGGGACAGGTCTTTGTCTTTCTGTACATTCCGGACGATCCCAGTATGGTCTACTACTATGTGAGTGTGCCGAACTCGGACGTCCTCGACGACGACGCGAACCGGCTACACCGCACGGCCGTCGCACAGGTCTTCGCCTTTGTTATCCAGTCCCTCCGTGCGAAACCGCCTTCGCAGTCGTGGATTGATGCAGCTGCAAGCCTTGATACCTGGACTGTGGGGGTCGACGATGTACTGAGCAGAATCCCTGAAACGGTTCGTAAGGGCAAGGAGCCTCGCGCTTCCCCTTACAAGCCATCGCGTTGGCGTGGGTTCCAACGCTCGCCGATTCGGACCCGTTCAAGCTGCAAGCGACCTGACAACATGTCCAATCCTGAAGATGACAGTGACGACGAGGATGCTCCCCCTTCACCGACGACGGGTCGTTCGACTCGCTCTGGCAAGAAGCCAGCCAGTTCAAGTTCGATCCCCAGTGGGAGGCAGGGACAACGTGGGAGCGGGGACCGGCAGCAAGGTGGGGCGGGGCAGACAAGAATACAGGACCGGCCGTACTGCACTCACCACTGTCTTCTCGGTCTGGCGTGTGGTGGTCCGATAGACGAGAGCTGCCCTAACGCTGGAAGCCACGGATCCAGGCACATGGACCGAGCGGAGTTCATGCCTCTTGTCCGCACTCAACTGGCTACGGATCGCGGCCGTGATGCGGACGCCGCCCCGCTCTATTTGTCCGGCTCTTTTGGAGCGCTCTTCAAGATTCGTCTGTCCGCCTTTGGATACACGTTCGTAGCCAAGGGTGTGGAAGGGCCAGGCCTTAAGTGCCTCAAGCACGAGGAAAGGATCTACGACCATCTTCGCCCTATCCAGGGGGAGTATGTTCCTGTGTGTCTTGGTCTGATAAATCTGGTCCTGCCATACTACTATGATGGTGGTGTCTTCAGACACTTCCTCCTTCTTAGTTGGGCTGGGAAACCTCTGCACCGCTGCACTGACCAGATCGACAAGACGCGTGTCATCGCTGCAGTTGCTACGGCCTTTACTAGCCTACACCGACTACAGGTCCTCCACGGCGACGCAGAACTACGAAACATTACATATGATGAGGGCCCTATGATTGTAGATCTCGAAAGGGCGAAACTCTGTGCTCGTGGACATCTCGACTCCATCACCCCGAACAGCCAGAGTCGGAAGACGAAGCGCGACATATCGCAGGAGCATGGACAGGACCCCTTCGGTAGAGAGCTACGATCGGTCGTGGAGAGCGTCTCCAGAAGCTTCGGGGTAGTCACCATGCCACGTGGCTCAGTCTTCTCCACAGGGTAGACGTGCAAAGGGTGCTGGGGGGCGCATTAGGGAGGGGGTTAGCGATGCTAGTGGCCTTCGTACAAGGTTATATGATTAATGAGCATGACAACTCGTGTTGTTATTGTTAATACATCACGGTTTCCGCTAGATCTAGGTTCTTTACCCATTGCCGTACTGACATGAGGACACCAGGTTCAGACATATATCCATCCCAATAATCTGAGCTCCGTCCAGCGGGTCGTCATGGCCCAGGTCCTCTAGCCCCCTGTCATGAAAGCGGCACCGGGCCGATCCAAGAGCATCCCATCGCTGTCCAACTCCGAACGATGACGTAGCTTCCCACAGTCGTTGGCTGATATACTCGAATAACAGAAGACAGCGTCTGTTTACTTTCAGAAGCATAATCACTTTTGTGACTCATTATATCTCTGCCTCGAATACTTGACTCGCCCATCAGCGTAGACGATCACGGGCATCAGCCGTTATCCCGCCTCGGAAGATCCGCGCGCGTACACGCAGTCCGCGTTTGTCACAGATTGCAAACGCCCTTCCTCTAGCTTACATCAGCAAGAGACTACCTGCGACGACATGGGGATAGCTACTGGAACTTTATCGTACACCCTTGGCGAAGCCCGAGATTTCTTGCAATGATGCCTCCAAGTATACCTTCATATCTAGAATTCGCTGACGTGCTCTTCCAAGAAAATTGTAGGAGTTTAGCTAGCATTAAACGGCCGAGCGGTGGCGAAAGTGGAGGACGAGTATCCGAGTATAATATAGAACAGAGAGACGACTTAAGCGCAGCTATCGGCATCGGAGATGCTAGACTACCGGGGCTTTTCCGCCCTACTAGTATTAAAAGAGAACGAAAATCTACTATAGTCGATAGGTAGAATAGAATAATAAAGAATATCTAAACTATTCTAGTAAAGTCTAAGTTAGTCTATATAATATTTAAGAGAAATACTCTTAATATACTTTACTACTAAATATCTTATACTACTAGATACTCTATAATTTCTTAGTAAGAAAAATTAATAGATTTTTCTTAAATAACTAAGTAAAACCTTAATATTTTTCTATAACGTACTTTATTACTAAATACTCTATATTACTAAACGCTCTACAATTTCTTAGCAACAAAAATTAATAAAAATTAACTTGTTTTTCTTAAATAACTAAGCGAAACCTTAATATTTTTTAATAAAACTTTATACTTGTATTCGTTATAGTATATTATACCGTCTATTAAACTTACACAAAGATATATTACGTAATTAAAAAGCTATACGTATTTAACTTTTAAGAAAAAATCTAGTTTACTTCTAGTTAGTACTATTATATCTTTATAATATTCTATAAAACTTATAGTATATAGTATTTATAAGATAATAAAGGTTTCTAGAAAACTTCTATAGTGCTAGCTCTTCTACGTATAGTATAATAAGAGATAGAAGTTAGAAAAATTTCTTCTTAGAGCTTTCTTCTTCTAACTATATATATATAGTTAATCTAGCTCTATAAACTTACTATTTTATATATTATAGTTAGATTTAGCTATATAGAGCCTATTAACTAATAATATAGTAGTTTTAAGTAGTTATTTAAAAGTAAAGTCTTTTTAGTAGTATAGTAGAGAAAGATAAATAATACTAAAACTATTTTAAAATTATTACTTCTAAATATATAAAAGACTTATAGTATATATAATCTTATAATATATAACTTTATATAGCTAGATTATTAACATATATATATAGTTAGAGAAGAAAACTCTAGAAAGACTTTTTATAAACTTCTATCTCTTATTACGCTATACCTATAAGAGCTAGCGCTATTAAAATTTTCTAGAAACCTTTACTATCTTAGTAATACTATATACTATAAGTTTTATAGATTATTATAGATATATAATAGTACTAACTAGAAGTAAACTAGATTTTTTCTTAAAAGTTACCTAAATACGTATAGCTTTTTAATTACGTAATATATATCTTAGTATAAATTTTATAGTAGGTATATATAGTATAGGTCTATATATAGTTAAATCTTTATAGAAAAATATTAAGGTTTTGCTTAGTTATTTAAGAAAAATAAGTTAATTTTTGTTAATTTTTATTACTAAGAAATTATAAGTTATTTAGTAGAGTAACTAGTTTAGTAGTAAAGTACGTTATAGCGTCTATAGCGTTACTAAGCTAGCTAGCTATTATATACTACTACTTCTTTATACTACTTTTTACTTTTATTCTAATCTATAGCTTTTCTTTAAGTAACTAGCTATAAGCTAGCTTTAATTATAAGAGTATTCTCTTTCTAAATTACTTTCTTTTATATAAATTATAGTTCTTTTTCTATACGTTAGCTACTTAAAGCTAGATAACTTTAGACTCTATAAGTACTAGCTAATACGCTATTAGCTTATTATTTTTCTTAAGCTAATTAAGTAACTTAAT